GTCTGACAATGAACCAAGTAGGCCTCCTGGGGGGTGGGGTGGGCTCTGAAATTCCAGAGAAACATTCCACAGCCTGGAAGTTAAAGGGCGCTGAGTTGAGTTAAATGGACTGCTAACCTGGTATCTTTTCAACTTAAGAGCTCCGCTGCATACATCTGGGCTGCTGCTTCCTCCGCCTGCAGAGTGATTTATTGCTTGTTAGTATTTACAGCTGAGTGATATTTTCAGCCGCTCCTACAACCATAGCCATTGTGAACAGGACGCCATCTGGTCACCTACGTACAGGCAGCCATGAGATCTCCATGTAGCTGAGGTAGATGGAGGCTGACCCTGGTCTCTGGACACTTCTAATGCAGCCTGATGGGTCAAGAAGAGGGACTGGCTAGAGGGGAGGAGGAGGGCCTTCTGCAGATGGAATGAGGATCCAGAAAGAAGGCCAACTCCCTCGTCAAATATGGCCCCACATCTGCAGCATCCTCACCCAAGGCCCAACACTTGGGAACTCGCTAGAAATGTAGATTCTGGGCTCCTGCCCTAGAGCTGGCCAGTGTGAACCTTGGGGTGCAGTGGCAACACTCCGTAATTTAACAGCATTTCTGGAGACTCCGGTGCAGACTAAAGGTTGACCACTTCCCACTAGCGAGCTGGCCCACATTTTGCTCACAACTCCGATTCCAACCCTCACGGACAGCACCCGCCAAGCAAACGCTCTTCTGCCACACTCTCGTCTGGACAAACCCTTGCCCTTTCTACACTCAAACGCCAGACCCAGAGGGAGGCTCCTGGAAGTCCACATAAACACACAGACCTTATCAGAGGTTTTGCATCTAAGGCCTCAGTCCAGCTAGATTTCTCTGGAACAAGCTCTTGTTTCCCCACCTAACTCTAACACTGGGTCCGACAATTCATTTTACATCATTCCCCAAATTTCTCACCAATGTTTATCAGTAGCCATGGGAACCCATTCTTAGCCCGCCTTTCTGTTCCAGGTATGAAATGGTAAGTGCAGAAAAAACCGGGAGTGTTGTTATTAGTGTTACTATAGCGACAAACTTGAACCATCTGAATGTCTATCAAAAGAATAAATCAAAGCATGACTGCTGAGATAGGATATAAAATCACATCGTAGGGAAATACTCCACTCTACATAATTTAAAAGCTATATTTTGCTTGATTATTAAAAACTGTCAGCATTGATACAGCTTTGGTGGCATGGATCAGAGATCCCAAAGTTCACAGCCTAACACTCACCTGCCTCAATCTCTGCTCACATCTGACAGGCACAGAGGTGAGCCCAGCCATCCCGGCCAGCCCCAGATGCAGGGACGGAAGTCTGCCAGGCCTGAAGTGGCACCCGGGTAGAAGGGAAGCCAGAGTGGAGTGTTCAGGGAGATAACTGAGCTTTGCTAATAGCTGCAAATGAAGGGAAAGATAAAAAAGAAGAGAAACCAAAAAAAAAAAAAAAAAAGCAAGCAGCCAGATCAGGAGCTAAGAAAATTATAGATAAAAACACGCATTTTCCTCCTCACAAAGAGCTTTAAATTGGCAAGAGATTCCTTACCAAGAGCCAATTTGAAGCCAAGGGCTGATGTCCCAGCATGACAGATCCCAGGGGCTGGGAAGCTATGCTCCAGGGACTGCGCTAGTGACCAGAGTCCTGAGGGTGCGGCACAACATGGTGACACACGCCGCCTCCCCTGACTGCACGGCCAGGCACCTGGTGACACAAACTCTGTGAGGCCAATCTGCACCGCACCAGGTGCCTTTACAACTTGCATCTGGTCCAAAGGGGACTCTGGCTCTCTGGCCTCTTGCTCCCCAGCAGAGCAGGCTCAGGGAACACCCTGGAGAAGCCTCACTTCCTCCTGCCTCAGGGCCTGGCCCTGGAAATTCGGTGGAATCCAGAGGGAGGCTCCACTGAGGTCAGCTCCAAGGGCTCCTCTGTGGTCCTCGGCACTTCTCAGGGGAGGGAGGAGCTCACTGTGCACATAAATCTTCCCGACTCAGGCCTCCTGTCTGCTGCCTTCTCGAAGATGCAGAAATACACAGCCTGAGGTTTTAAATCATGGCTCTTGGCCTCTGAGCTCCTAGTGATGTGACAGATACCAAAGTACCCTCAGAAGGGGCATTTAGGAAAGGGTTAAAGAAAGACTACAGACTCACTTTTCTTGTCGTGTGTCTCAATTCATGTCTTTATGCCTATGTTCTTTCCCAAGTTATTAAGAGTTCAGCACTTTGACCATTCTGTCCTAAACCAAAGCTTATCTATTTCAAAACTGCAACACTTCCCATTTTTCTGTTATAAAAGAGAACTCAAATTCCAACCATGTATTCTTATTAAAGCTCTTAGTGCTTTAGCTGAAAGTACAGGACGGAAGCCCACTATTCCCGCACTTTCTGCCTGCATCGTGAGCACCGCACCTGTCTGTGTTCTCTTGCAGAGGAACACGCAGTGTTCCTGGACTCAGACTTGCTCCGCGTGCTGGGACCAGGAGTGATGTTTCAGTCCGGAGGAGGCTCAATGGCGCCCACAGAGCATCCCACGAAATGCAAGACCATTTGTAGAAGAGGACTCAGGCTCTTGCTTGGTTACACAACTTGCCAGTGACATGCCCCAAGACGGGTTCAAGGTGCTGGGAGCCTTATTATGGCCACTTTCCAGATGAGAGAGAATCCATCACTCTCCCCACCTTCCCAGCAGAGTGAGGGTCAGATAAATAATGGATGTCACAATAGCAGTTGTGCGAGACGGACAGCTCGAGTCCTTGATCTCCACCTTCCTCCCTCCCTCTTTCTGACCCTCCTCTCCTTTCATACATCATGTGTTTCCTGTCTGAATTAAATGGTCATACACACTATAAGGAATTTCAAAACGAGTCAGAAATGTACTTCAGATGCCTAAAACTGTAGGAAAAGAAACACAGATAACCTGCTCTAGGATTTGCAAGGGGCTCAAGACAGCATCCTGTGTAGGGGCAGGACGACCTCGGGGAGGAAAAGGCATCTGAGCAGTCCCCGAGGGTGGCCAAGATATCGACGCGTGGAGTTGAGGGTGAAGAAAGGCATGCTGGGAGACAACCAACAGGGCAGAGAGACAGACCTGGGGCGTGCACAGGAAGGAAGCAGCCAGAAGCCCTGAAAGGAGAAGGGAGAGACAGCTAGAAAGGCAGACTGGAGCCAGGTGGGGAATCCCTGTAGGTGGAGGGAATTAGTGGGAATTTGGACTCCAACACCTCTCTCACCCATGAACCTGAGCGCCCAAATTCCCTCTCTGGATAAGTTACACCACATGCCTTTGTCTACCTAAAGAAAATTCAAGTATTTAAAGTAACTGAGGTATGGAAAATCAGACCACCCAAAATGTTATTTGTGGAACTGCAGTCTTTTGAAAGAACAATTTGTTTCTATCAATAATCAAAACATGTGTTTTCTTTAGACAGTTTCTCAGCTGCCATTAAGTATACAGATATATTAACACAATTATGTGAAAACACAAAGTATGTCCCTTTTATTATCTTTACTGTTCAAAAATAGAGAAAAGGAAGCAAACTAAATGTCTATCAATAATGGACCTATCACATGAGATTCACCCAAACAATGGAATACTATACAGCCATTCTCAAGCCAGTAGACCTACGCAAAATAAAATGGAAGTGAGCCTATCCCCCACTATTAATGTGAAAGGGGCAAAGTGTGGAGAAATATGACTACTATGATCCTATTTCCATTTTTAAACTGTATACTTAACGAACAGAAACATTCTGGAAGGTCACTTTTAGTAGTGGATTCAAGGAGGAAATAACAAGCACCTTGGTTTGATGCAAGTGATGTTTCTGTCATATGCATATTTTTCTATATGACACCTCTTCAGAAATGTCCAAGCCAGGAGAGGTATGTGGAACCCTCTAGACACCACTCCGCCGGTTACAGGACTGATCCAAGCAGTCCTTTCCTTGCTGGCTTCCCAAATAGTGGTTAAAGAAAGAAGGAAGGGAAGAAGGGAAGGAAGGCGCACAGACGGGAAGGGGAAAGGAGGTCCTGCATGAAGACTAACCAGGTAGCAGCACACCACACCAGTTAGAAAAGACAGACTCAGAGCCAGGTGTGGTGGCGCATGCCTATAATCCCAGCACTCGGGAGGCTGAGGCAGGAGGATCGCTGTGAGTTCAAGACCAGCCTGGGCCACATAGTGAATTCTAGGTCAGTCTCAACCACATAGTGAGACCCTGTCAAAAAAAAAAAGAAAGAAAGAAAGAAAAGAAAAGACTGACTCAGGGACACAATGGGCTGGCCAGACAGAGCTCGAGACCAGGGTGAAGAATGGAAAAGAGACCAGAATGAAGCATGCAGGAGAGTCAGGTTCTCTGATACAGAAACCCGAGGTCTGTGGGCTGGAGGGGCAGGCACGTTTCAGAGAAGCCAGAAAGCAGCAAATGCCAACCTCACAGTGTCGACCCTGAATGTCACGGTGCCTGGGGACATCAAGCAGCTTCAGACGGTGCCCTCTTCCTCTGGGAAACACTGGGGCCACGGCTCGTCCAGAACAAGTGACTGTGCGACCTACACTTCCTTCTGTCCCTGTCGCTTATTGTTTTCCTCACAGGGTGCCGGGAACGACGCTGTGCTGACACATGGGATGCACCTGGCACGGTCCCTGGCAGAGGGCAGGCACCCACAGAGAAGCTTATTATGAAGTCGCCTGCAGACCGCTGTTGAAGAGTTCTAAGCACCACAACCACAGAGGTCCTGTCAGAAGACTCCTGACTCCTCACCGCTGGACAATAAATAAACAGGCTGCCTTCCCCAGGGCGGAGAGCAACTGGGAGCTGTTGCCTCTGTATTGCAGAATTTCAAAATTAAGCGATCCCCGTCAGGCCCCAAGTATAAAGAGTCCTCTCTGGTCTCATCTTTAATGAGCCTTTATGACTGGAGTCTGTTTCCCTTTCTCCCCTCCAGCCAGCGGCCCCATGCCACCCCGGGGAGCACCAGGGCCCACTCACCACCGCGGGAGGCTCGTTCCACTCCTCATAGGAGATTGCCGCGTAAGGGTAGATGCGGTCATTGATGATCTGCAGCGTGGCCAGGGCTATGGCTCTGATCGACTGGAAGTAGGCTTCCCAGAACCACCGCGCCTGTGGAGAAAGTGACATGCTGAGAGAGGCTGAGCCAGCGAGGCGGGTGGGGAACAAGACGCGGGACCACGCTCAGCCCTGGTCTGGGGGCTCCTTTATCCCCAGAGACAGTGTCACCTGGGCGATTCGGGTCCGGCGCAGGTTCCTAGGTTCTTGTGCGCCACAAAGAGTTGCGTGCGGCACGCAAGGGAAAAGAAAAAGCAGCACCGTTTATTAAGGCGATAGGAGGCTCAGAGTGAGCGGACTCATTCATGTCTGTGGAAGAAAAATGGCACTAGCACTGAGGGCATAAGAGGGGGTGTTTAAAATGCCGAGCCAGCTTTGGGGCAGAGAGCCACTGGGCTCTTCCAGTGCAGGACGACAGGGTGCCAAGTCGGGGGAGCGGCACGCAAGGCTCCTGTCCTTTGCCACAATCCACTCTGTCGGAATCGGATGTGTGAGACGCCGTCCATACGCAGCAGCCTTCAATAGGCTCCAGGTGAAGAAAGGTACTGGTGCGCATGTGTCCTGGTCTGCAGTTCCGGAGTTTTCCAAGGAGGCCCAGGGGTCTCTGATGTTCTTCTCTGCCTCTGTATAGTAAACCTTAGGACAAGGTGGGGGTGGGGGCCCTGGGGCGTCCTGGAGTCCCCTTAGGAACCAGGGGAGTGGTTCCTAAGCCCCAGTTGTACTCTCTGTATTGACGGGGTGCTGGGGGAAATGTCCTGGCCAATCCCACTAGAGGAGCACATTCATCAAATGCAGTCAGACTGGAAGGCGGATTCAGCCGAGATAAAAAGAAACCCTGTGTTGATGAAAATACAGTACTGTTTTATATCACAGCAAGTCTACAGTGAGCTCTTCGCTATGCACCTGCTGCGGCTCGAGGACCCGGCAGCACCCCCAGAAGGTCCCGAGGCCACTTTCCTGCCAGGATCTCAGCCCACTATTCTGGTGTCTCCTGTCCTCACTCTTGAATTTCATGTAAGTGGAATGCAACAGTTTTTACTCTCGTTTTGATTTCTTTGACTCAACCATATTTAAATCAGGGTTTGGTATAGAGAGGTTAGCTGGCCTCACAGAATGAGTTGGAAGGTGTTTCTTCTTTTTCTATTTCTTGAGAAATTTTATGCAAAATTGCTTTTAGCTTTCCCCTGAAAGGCTTTAGAAGAAAATAAAAAAATCTTTTGATTGTTTGCTTTCTCTATCATACATTTCTCACCCTATTTTGTTTATTTCTCTCTCTTTTTTTTGGTTCTGGGGATCGAACTAAGGACCTTATGCTCGTGTACCTCTCATATTTTTATTATTCCCTTCTATTTTAGAAGAGCACAATTTTGCTTTTAGCTTCTTGAGATTGAAATATAAATTGTTAATTTCAACTTGTCTTTATTTCTAATGTATGTCAAGCTGTAAATTTCCCTCTATACATTATTTTAAATGTATCCCACATATTTACAAATCATTTTCAGTATCATTTAGATAAAATAGTCTACTTTCCTTGTCTTTGACTTATGGGTCAGTAATTTTTTATTTTTAAAACATTTTATTAGTAGTACATATTTGCAGTACATAATGATTACAGTCATTGTGGAGAATTGGTACCTGCACATAACACATATTTTAAGAACTTTTGCCGGGGATTTAGCTCAGCGGTTCGGTGGCCTGCCTTGCAAGCGCAAGGACCCGAGTTCAATCTCCGGTACCAAAACAACAAAAAAAAAACTTTTGTCTATGTGTGTACACGTACATGTATCTATGATTATGTGCATAAATATATAAAATTTTACTTTTAAATCTGTATCCTCAAGGTTTGTCTCTAATAAAAATCATACTTTAGAGTTTTAATATTCACCCTATCCCAAAATCTTTTGCTTCTAGATATATAGCCCATTTACACTTAGTGTAATTACTGATATAGCTGAGTTTAAGTATATAATCATTCTATTTATTTATTTAGGTACTGGGGATCAAACTCAGGTCCTTGCACTTGCAAAGCAGGCAGCAGAACCACTGAGCTAAATCCCTGACCCTCTATTTATTTCTTTTCTTTTTTTGGTACCGGGGATTGAACTCAGGTCCTTGTGCTTGCAAGGCAGGCAGTGGAACCACTGAGCTAAATCCCTGCCCCCCTCTATTTCTTTCTTTTTTTTTTTTTTTTTTTTTTGGTACCAGGGATTGAACTTGGGTCCTTGCGCTTGCAAGGCAGGCCAACGAACCACTCACTGAGCTAAATCCCCAGCCCCCTCATTTATTTCTTAATTGTTTCATCTGTTTTATTCCTTTCTTACATTTGAAACTAACAAAAATTATTATTCCACATTTTTCTTCTTCATTAGCTTGCTAATTATTTAGTCTTTTGTTATTCTTACCATATTAATAGTGGAAGGATATTTTAGATACAGAATTTCTAGCATACTTCCCACTCTACTGGACACCAGACATTCTGTTTGCCCTCTGGGCCTCTGAGGAAAGGATGGGGCATCTCCCGGGACCCCCTACCTTTGCAGCCTTGCTCCCTAACCTCTATATCCTAGTGCTCTGTAGCTGCTTTCTGTGGGCTCCAGGGTCTGCCCCTGGCTGTGTGTATTCAGTTTTGGTGTTTTTTTCTTTTCTTCCTCTGTGGTTTTCTCTTTCCTAAAAGTTTGCCTCTCAAATTCCAACCTCTATGCCCCATAGGACTACGCTTTCTGCTAGGGTCTGCATACCCTTGAGCTGTGAAGTGGAAAGTGCCCTTGGGGGAAGAAACCAGAGTAAACATGAAGCTCACTTCTACGCCATGTCTCTTGGGGAAAGGTGTCCCCTCAAGTAATGCCATATCGGGTGCTTGCTGCTGTGTGGAAGCAGGTGTCTCATCTATTCTGCCCGCCCCCCTACTAGGGATCTAACCCAGGGGCATTCTTCTCAGCCTTTCTTATTTTCATCCAGGGTTTAGCTAAATTCCCAGGGCTGGCCTTGCACTTCTATCCTTCTGCCTCAGCCTCCCAAATAACTTGGAAGGTGCCACCTTGCCTAGCTCTTTTTCTTTTTCAACAAGGGCATTATTCCAATATCAGCTACTCTACTGCGGTCCAATACGATCTTCTGAAAGAAGACGGTTTCTTATTACTGGTCCTTTACCAAAGCAGGATGCTGGTCTAGACAAGCAGGGCAGCTTCAATTGGATCTGTGATCTCGCTCAAAACCAGAGGGCTTGTGCATGAGAACGGACACGTGAAAACCGAACACAGAGAAATAGGGGGAGGAAAAAGACAGTTTCCAGTCTAGATGTGCCAAGGTAACCGTCCGGGGTCAAATGCCCAGGTACCTTCTGAGCTACATGACTTCCATTCTCTCCACTAACTGAGCAGGAACGCGTTGCAGCTTGAATCATTCCTACTGGGAAAGCTGGAATGCAGACTTAGCTCACGAGGGCAGGGGCTCCCTGTGCTGGCTGCCTGGTGCTGCTTTCCGGACACGTCCTCTGCACTGCAACTGTATTCCCGCTTCCACGCATCTTTCTGCTCTCTCTCCCACACCCGGACAAAATAGTTCCATTCTGTGGACCTGAAAGAACCTGTCTTCTCTGTGAAGCTTTGATGGTCCCTTCGAACACCAATATCACCCTTGCTAAAACACCTACAACCAGGCCAGGGATTTGGCTCAGTGGTGCCATAAAAAAAATTTAAAATCTAAAACACTTACAACCTGGAGGCCTCTCTGTTCAGGTGAGTCCATCATTCTCTGCAGGTGCAGATGGCCACACCTCTCTCCAGCAAAATCAGGAGCAACTTTGGCAGGAAGACCCCTCTCCTCTTTGTATCCTTTGCAAGTGTTAAGTGTTTTGCTTCCTACAGAGCACTTTTATCTATGATCTCACCTCTTTATAACCACTTGTTGCTTTCTTGAGGGCAGGCTCAAGGTTGCTTTTATATGGAAGGAAAGATTCAAAGATATTGAGCGACAGAATTAAGATTCCAACCTAAGATTCCCAATGTTCAGTTCAGGCCTTTTCCTCTCACTGGAGTATTAAGAGGCCCAGCAGAGTAAGTTTTATGGGGAAGTGAGAAGTATAAAAATTTCTTATTGTGCACCAGGAGCCCACACATATACCATCTTTTCTACCCAAATGGGCCCACATCATTTTTTTTAAATGATATACACATGAAACTAGACTCCAACTTTAAGCATGCCCAGAGCTGAGTGCTCTCAGGTAGTCTGGGAGAGAGTAGGCTCGCAGGTCCAGAGAGCCCGGTGATGGTAGCAAATCCACCTAGAAGACCAGCAGCAAAAGGCACAAGTGTGGACAGAGCTTCTAACGCAAGATGTCTCCAATCATCTCCCTCCATCCAGAGACTGCAACTGACTCGGAAAGGAGGCAGGTGCTGCCAAGAACTACAGCTCCAGTGTCTCGGGCTTAACTGTCTCTGCAGGACCTCTGCGACTCCTTGAAGTGTTCAGCAGCACCATAATTTACATTCCCTCCCAGACACAGTCTCAGCTACCTGTCTGCGGAGAGGAGGAGTTTTCAGCTGCACTGGTAGTGCACAAAAGTACCTCTGCTGTAATCCAGAGAGCGAATGCAAAGAAATGCTTATTATGTCTACCTTCTCCTCCCTCAAAAATAAAAAAGACTCCAAAAACCATAAGTCACATTTATATCTACCTAAAAAGTCTAAGTGAGGGAATCTTCAGCAGCTATGAAAATCCCCCAGCGCTAAGCTGTCGTGGTTATGGCTGGAGAGTTGGGTTGGTCCCACCAATGCAACCATGAACAAAGCGTTCTGGCCGTCTTGGCTACACACGTGCCCCTGTGACTTCAAACCTGCAGGTTTCACAGTATAAGAGCTACAGAGTCCCTATAAAATTCAAACAGAAGCTCCCAGAGGCCAGGCATGGGCCAGATTAAACTACCAGACAAGCAGGGACTTCAAACCAGAATTGCTACTTCAGCTTATATATTAATGTCGGATTTTCAGTAAAGGGAAGTCACTAGGATGGTTAAAATAAATGCCTGAGTGAAGGCAGTTTGGTATTGTGGTAGG